TGCTCAGGTGGATCCCTTGGCATTATGTTACAGATACTGCTGCCCCAAAAAAAAAAATTCACTGAATCACCACTGAGAAAAACTAATGACTCCACTTTACAGGTGAGGAAGCTGAAGCCAGGACAAAATGGTCAGCCATGGGTCGGTACATGGTGCCAGACTCCCTTCTCTGAGACTTCTGCTTCTAGTGTTGGGTTTCCTTCCCCTTATCTGAAAGGTTTCACGGTAAATGTTTGAAACACTGGCACTTTAAGTTAGGTCTAACAACTAGATATTAAGGGGGACTGATGGAATTTGTTGTTCAGGGTGGAGGACTCAAAATTCAGCCTTTGTCTGAACCACTTTTGTTCTGATTTTGCCACTGACCAGGGAACTACTTTACAGAATGGAGATAATCTGCAAATCTAGTAGCCAACTAAACTATCTTTTACTTTCTATAAATGTTTTTTTCCTTCATGTTGCTGTGATTAGGAAAAAAAGCCCAAACCCAGACTATTTGTCTTCACTTTGTCCACAAAGATGAGTCTATTTTTGCAGAAAAACTAACAACTTACCTGACCAGGTCTAAATAGTGATATTACCTTCTCTGTAAAGTGCCCAAAGGACAACGACTGGCATTCTCAGTGTGTTCACTATTGTTGGCCCACAGACCTCTTGCAGGGATCTTGCTGTCAGTCTTCAGGATGGAGATAAGGAAACTTCTGAAAAACTTGAAGAGCAGGGGCTTCAGTGGCCACTGTTTGCATGATTGCCTCACTGACGTTTGGGCTATGCAGAAGTGTGACTGCTTTTGCCGTTTATTCCGATATATAACCAGGTCCGATTAACTCAGTTTGGGCTGGATTTGGTTCCCCAGTACGCAGTGGGAGGCCCTTCCGTGGAGGTTCACAGTCTTGTGGAACCCCAGCCTAACACTCATCTGGTTGGCAGCTTGTTCCTTTGAGAAGGCGTTTTTTAGGCCTGAAGTGTCGGCCTGAGGGGTGATTTCAGCCTGAGGTATGATTTGTGCCTGAGGTGTGATTTGTGCCTGAGGGGTGGTTTGGGCCTGAGGGGTGATTTCAGCCTGAGGGGTGATTTGGGCCCGAGGGGGGATTTGGGCCCGAGGGGGGATTTGGGCCCCAGGGGGGATTTGGGCCCGAGGGGGGATTTGGGCCTGAGGGGGGATTTCAGCCCGGGGGTGCCGGCGGCCCGAGGGCTGATCTCTCCAGGCGCTCTCTCGCCCTCCACC